GAAATTACATGTCATGCTAATTATATTGTTTCATTCATTGATAGACAATGAATTACACCCTACACAGTCCTTATGTGGTGATATACATGTGAGCTACCATATGTATTTCCGAAACCGTAGAGAAATACAAGAAAATACGCAAAAATACCCTAAAAATACGCGTATATAGGGTTCTATAAGTATTTTCACATCTGTAAAAGCTTCAAACATGTAAAATAAATACACCACAGTGTAGAGAATCTCGATACGAGCGCGTCAGTACCAAGAACGTCCAAAACGGACGTCGGACGCGCCCTCACGCGCCACCGGAAGGCGCGGCGCGTGCGCGCGTGTTCAACCGGTCAAACCGGTCTGAACAGCCGGTCCGACCGGTTGACCGGTCCAACCGGTCAATGGTCAACGGACCGGTCCGACCGATTGACCGGTCAGGTCAACGGTCGGGTCGGGTCAAAACTCTAGTCGGGTCAACGGTCGGGTCGGGTCAGGATCCGGGTCACCGGATCCGCGCCCTCGCTGACGTCATGCTGACGTTAGCCTGCGGTTACCGGCGGAAGGACGCGCCGGTTCGGCACGGCCGCGCGTGGACGTCACGCGCCGCCGTGCTTAGGGCGCGTGTAGGCGCGTGACGGCGCGTCCGGCATCCTCCGGCGACGTGCCGCCCACCATTTTTCTCGTCTCGACGAGTAGATTCTAAATATGTAATAAAATTTAACTTTCATCCGACAAAAAATTTCGCAACTGGGCAAAAACCTCTCGGACAAAACGAAAACGGTCCTAATCCGCATATTTCAGTTCTAATCTATGGCAGGCTCTGATACCACATGTTGGCCACGAAAATGGCACGCCCAAGATCACCATAATCATAAACCGAAACACGATAATGGAGAAATTGTCGTTTCGCGTACCTGGTTTGGAATCCATCGAACTTGACGCAGAATTTGCGACGGTTTCCGAACACGAACTCAAGTGCCTCTCCCCTATCCCCTTCGTTAGAACACTGGCCTAATGAGATTGCCACTCACGAGAAGAAAGTTCTCTCTAAATCCATATATAAGTCAAATTGTGCATCATCAGGTTAGGGGAGGGACTTGAGCGCTATTTATAGAGTCTTCGACCACGGGCCCTCTCATTACGGGCCGGGCCGTACTCGGCCCACACCAGCCAGCCCCATATTAGACTGATTAAGAACCCATATATCTTACCTTTATTAGACCAAACTAATTCAGTTAATTTCAATTAATGAAGCCTACATTAGGAAATTCTTACAAAGGAAGGTCAGAAAACACTCATGGGGCCAAGGTTGATTGGAAGAGGTTTGTTTGCCTAGGATTGGAGCCTCGTTTCTTCGTATGTGATGTATACAATAAAGAGGATATGGTATTAGCGGCGCATAGCACAGCCCGGCACCCTTGGGTCTGTGTCTGGGCACTGGCCCATTAGGTCGCGGACCGTTAGGGATCACACATGATATAGACCAGAATTATGAAGCTCAAACACTTCGAGAGTACGCCTAGAATTACCTCAAACTTCGAAAGCTCATAAAAAAATCAAGCTAGATTATAGAATATTTTGATAACAAAAATTAGCATCAGAAAGGTGATGCCTACACAGGGTTATGCCATAAATTATCTTACAATCTGATAATCAAGTTAAAAGCATGAAATGTACTTGTGATCACAGCTGCAATCCTCAGTAAACACATGAACATCAAGGCAAAAACTGATCCGGACATGCTTCACGCTTCCTTTCTTAGGTCCCTTGATGAAATTCCGTGATCGAAAGCAGTAAACGAAAATGCATTGTCGGTCAAAGTACACTGAATCATTTGCAGATACTTTATCGTCAATAACGTTCACACGAATCTCTATACTTAAAGGGCTATTTGAACAACACTATGATTATACAACTTTTTATGATTTTGAGACAAAGATCACCATTAACTGTTTCTGGCATCACAAAACAAACAGCATAGAATCTTATTATGCTAAAGTCTGCACCAACGATGTCACATCCAGATTTGCACTTTACATGTAGTATACAAAGGATCACAAAACTATTAGTTCGTAAGTTATTTTGTGATGAGTTCACCTCAAGAATGGGAACTACCGTGAACTGCAAGTTTGACTTTAGGTTTAGTCAAACGAAGAGATTAACTGACAAGAATAAGAATAATGACCATTATGATTTGAATAAACCAAGAATCAGGAATGAAGAGCAAGGATGTTGTCTAACTTCATTTTGAAGACCTTTATATTGCCTCGTGATTAAATATTACCATACAAGAGAATTTATAGCTGTAGGTATACTCAATCGTCGCATGAGCATCATATCATACTGCCACAGCAATAGACATTGCCACAGCGCCCTAATCCGTGCCATTCCATTGTTAACAGCTATACTACAGAAAGGTCACAGCATGCAGCCCATTTGTTATATGCACAAGTAACTGATCATCGTTCAATATGCAGCAGAGGTGCTTCAAAATACTATACATGATGTACATTATGTTCAGAAAAGCAAGGAATCATAAGTTCAAAGGTCTTACCTAGTTGTGCAAAGGCATAAGAAGATTCAACAGGAAGAATCAATGCACGTAGATCTAATGAGAAGCCTGAGTAACCCGGGAACTGTGAGGCTTTGGAGCTGAAAATCAAAGATTAGGATTCAGCATACATATATATAAACAAATCATAGATTCCACAATGTCAAAAACAGAGAATGAATTGAAAAGGAGGGGAAAAAAGGAGAAGAGAAATGATACTTCATGTAACAAGGTTCAACAAAACAAAGAAGAAACATGAACCAAATTGATTTTATCATTGCAAAGGTCAATTATTAAAGGTCATCTTTTCTGTATGTAATGAGTTTCCAAAGCGTACTAATTATCTCAGAGGCATGAAAAGGTTCTGGTCCGATCAGTCTCTTGAAATATTTGCAACTGAAGAGCACAAACTGGACAATTGCTCGACCAAGAACCATATATAATTGGTAATTCACAATAGGGATCAAGGAAGAAGATATTTCTCTCTAACGAGTCTAACCAATGGATTATCAACTATTAAGAAACTGCACTTCGTCTTTTTCCTTAACCAAGGACATGACAACCCATTTTTCAAATGCAATCTGGCTAGGTATACTGAGTCTAGAGGAAGCAACATATGAAATGTTCTTTTTCTAGCTGGTTGAGAGAACTGATTGAAAAGTAGAAATAAAAAGAGGCTTCCTGAATTCTTCTTAATCAATATTGAAGGGGATCAGTGTTAGGAAGACCGTCGTATTAGGCTCTAAAAGATAAATTTTTCCGGAAGGGTCTTTCAGGGAGACATTGCTAGCAGGCACAATCTCAACTTCATTGATTGATAAAGAAAACTTTGGTTCAAAGGTAGAATTTCTCTATTATGCTCATAGAAGCCTCTTAGAAAGTATTTAACCATGGGTCCATTGAAAACGAACTACCATTTCCCTTAGGTTATCTAATGTAAATAGGTGCAAACTACATTATAATAACATTCTTTCGAACAGACAATTCAACTGATTGAAATGGTTGATTGCCATTTATACCATTAGGCTTTCCTCGTTCATAAAAATCTTGGAGAAGAGAATTGGCTTCTGATGCCATTATACCTCCACAGCATTTGAAACCCTTTGATCCAGAATTCCCAATACTGCAAGAATAACAAGAAAAAAGTTAAAAACATTAATAAATCAGGCAGATGCATCCCAGAATGCTTTTGACTCATAATCAGATTATGAATCGAAACATAACTGTAAATTTCAAGCTCTAAAAGTATTGAGTTTTCATGGTTTTTTTTTTTCCCTGAACTTTTTGCTTAGATGCATCCTTGGTACATCTCTTGCTTCTTCACCCAGTACTTGAGCTTGTTCTCTCAAAACTAACAATTTGAATAGAAAAACAATGTCCGTAATCTAGATTAGCAACTTCATGTACTGCTCAAATCACAATGAAACAGATCCTGTTTCACTACGTTTTAATTTTTATTTCAACAAAGTCGGAGCAAAAAATTGATTAGTTCTGAACAAGCTTAGGAAACATGAAATGTTAGCTCATAACAACATCATACAGTTGAAATATCATACTGGAAGCACAAGCCATACACCACAGTTTAGCAGGCACATGCTCTCATGTATGCAAGAAGAGACAATAGCAACTATTAAACAAGAAAAGAGATTTCTTTATCAAGTACATTGCCCATGGCATATCAGAAAGCATAAATTTTTCCTCATAGTTAAAATATCATACTTCTTTGAAGATACTATATATCTCGATTTAAACGTGATAACATTAAAGACATCAAAGAATCTCACCGCAGTGAAAAAGGTCAGGAAGAAGAGATGAAGAAACAGGGGAGAGGGAAAAGGAAAAAAGAAACTAATGTTAGCTTAACTTGTGGCACTTCCCATAACTGTAAACTTTTTAGGGCAAACAAAGAATACATAAATGTCTAACAAGTCACCAAGAATTTAAGAAAAAGGAAACAAAGCAGGATAAGAAAGAATAAATATAAACTTGACTTCTTAATGCTTCCAGAAACACCATTTTCTTCCATTTAGACTAAGGAAAGGACATAAAAGATGGAAAATTAGTTCCATAAACCTCCATTTATTTTCGTGGTTATGTGTTGCAATATCCGATGTGGCAACAATATACAGAATCACTACGAAGCCACATCCATCAGTCATCAACATAAGGAATCATAAACCTCCAGTAAGCTTTAGTTGTCAATTGTCATAGGTTACAATTTCAAAGTAAAGCTATGTAAATAAAAAACCAGCAGCAAAAGCAAGTTCATAAACTGATCTAATGTGTGCCTCAGAGCTACTTGAATGCAACGACATTATTGAGCCACAGCCTCCAAATTTATCATTTGCACAGCCATAATATACTTTCTTTAAACAGAAAAAGGGAGAGAGTCATCTAATCATAAATAAATTTTTTTTAGGAAAGTTCAGTTTTATTTCAGTAGGATCAACGGATGTACCAATGATCGATAGTGCTGCTGCACACATTATGCATGGTTCACATGTCACATAAAGGGAGCATGCTGAAAACTTCTCTGCAACTTCTGCAGCCGAAAATCCAGTCCTCTGCCACCATACAAGAAGAACATCAAGAGCTTCCATCTCTGCATGTCTCATTGCCCATGAAAGCACAAGGGGAAAAACGAAGCAAGCATATCAAACTTAGGAGCTTTGTCATGAGAAATATTTCTCCTTCAAGTTAACTGATTAAGAGTAAATATAAGATTGATCAAGGCATATACTACGTGAAGTCAACAAGTTTTACTCACTTGAAGTTGCTGAGAATCTCACTAGGAAAAAGAGGCTTCTTATTGGATTAGCCACCTCCACCTTTTTTAACAGTATTTTTTTAATATACCCCTGTAGCAAGGTGCCTTTGTTTTTTTATTAATCTCCACAAGATACTAAAAGGGCCAATTATTTTTCACATCAACTATTCATTGCTATCCATAAAATCATTTATAGTAATGTATTGTCACCTCATGACTATAAATGATTACAGAAATAGACTATTAGGGGTTTGTTTAGTAAAATTTCTGTTCCTAAAAATAATTTCTGTTCAGAAATAGTTTTTTTTATTTCTATTCCCTAGCGAGTTTCTGGGCAAAAAAACGCGTTTAGTAACTGTACAAAATTTCTATTCCCGGAGTAAAAAAAGAACAGAAATGCGTTTGGTAGGACACTAAATATTTTTTTTTTTATACCCAGGATCTGGCCTGGCACCCTTCGGGTCAGGCCTAACCAAGCATTCAGTTCAGTTTTTTCTCTCAACATGGTATCAAAGCCGATCTGAACTGAAACCTTAACCCTAATCTCTCCTCTGCGCAACCTTTCTTTTTTCCTCTCTTCACGTCTTCACTCTCTCCCACTGCAGTTCCTTCTCATCTTCTCCTTTGCTATCTTTCACAGTGTAGGGCAGCACTAATGAGGTGATTCTTTGAATCTAGTGTCTGCCCTAAACTTCACCTCTATGACATAACTAAAACTTCTTTGCAATCCGCGATAGGTGGTTCAACTTCTTCTGCGATTTTTTGGATCTTCTTGTCTGGAATTGTTTCTGCCTTGTTGATGGCCTACAATTCTCTCGTGTGTGAAGACCAAAGCACTGCAGTTTGTGGACCACCATATTTTTTTCAAATTCTTTGGGATAAATTAGAATTATCAATTTTTTTCAAGATTTTGAAATCTTAAAAAAAATCGATTTTTTTCTTCCCTTGATCTGATCTTGCTGATTTTTTGGAGGATATTTTTAGCCTACTACCAGTGACATAATGTCTGACGGTTCAGTTGAGAACCCTCCACCTACAGGAGATGGCCGTACAGATTATATTACTTTCGCTACAATCTCTGTGAAGCTCGACGGCACAAATTATTTGATATGGTCTCGATCTGTATTCTTGACCATTGCAGGCTGTGGGCTTACAGGTCATATCAATGGCACTTCTTTGAAGCCGGAAACATCGGGTGCTACTCAAGACAAGTGGATCTCGAATGACTCTTTGGTAATATGTTTTTTGCTTAACTCGATGCAGCCACGTATTGCAAAAGGATATTTGCTTCTTGATACTGCGGCGCAAATTTGGTCAGCTGCTAGGGATACTTATGGTCAAATCGGGAATGATGCACAAGTGTATGAACTTCGAAAAAGGGTTCATGACACTTCTCAGAAGGAGATGACTATATCTCAATATTATGCTGAGCTTCGAAGTTTATGGCAAGAGTTAGATCATTGTACCGATTATCAACCAACTAATGCTATAGACATTGTTGCCTACAAGAACCATGTGGACAAGATCAGAGTTTATGATTTCTTGGCAGGATTGAATGTTGAATATGATCATATACGTGTTCAAGTCCTTAGCCGGTCTCCATTCCCCACTCTGGAACAGTCCTATGCCCTAGTTCACTCAGAAGAAAGCCGTAGGACAGCAATGCTCCACTCCTCTATTACTAATCGATCTGCTCTACAAATCAGTGCTGGCACTATTACTAAATCTGGTTCGTTCTCTCAATTTAATGATACCCCTAAGGAAGTTGTGAAGTGTGAATATTGTCATAGGCCTTATCATACTAAGGCTACTTGCCGGAAGTTACATGGAAAACCTGCAGATTTTGAGGAAAAAAAGGCACAGAGAAAGACAAAAAACAAAGCAAACCATACTGAAACTGTTACTGCTACACCTACTACTGATATCGGTTTATCCCAGGAAGAACGTCAGGCATTTCGACGTCTACTGAAAGCTTCTACTACTGCTGCTTCCTCCACAGTTGCCAATTCGTCTTCCCATTTTGCTTCAAATCTAGCCACTTCAGGTATCTTCTTTGGGGGGTTTAATACATCTGTTGTTTCTAGCCCATGGATCATTGATACGGGGGCTACAGATCATATGACAGGTTCTTCTAGTCTTTTTCATCAATACACCCCTACTTCAGGTAGAGACAAAGTTCGTGTAGCTGATGGAACCCTCTCTTCTATCGCTGGAAAAGGGTCTATCAATCGTTCCTCCACTCTTCCCTTGTCTTCTGTTTTACATATTCCATCATTCTCTACTAATCTCCTTTCTATTAGTAGTTTGACTCGAGATTTAAATTGTAAAGTAACTTTTTTCCCTTCTTACTGTATTTTCCAGGATTTGGTAACGGAGAAGGAGATTGGATATGGTAGATTGGATGGTGGTCTTTATCTGCTCGAGGGTAGTGGGGTTTCTACTTCTATGTCGTCTACTACGCCCCATCAAGTTAATTCAGCATTGACAGATCTCCATCAGTGGCATTGCAGATGAGGTCATCCCCCTTTAGGAACTTTAGAAAAAGTTTTCCCGAGTCTTGTTTTAGCTTGTAATAAAGATGAGTTTTTTTGTGAAGCTTGTGTCTTTGCAAAACAAACTCGTTCTACATATTCATCTTCAAATAATAAAAGTCGTTTCTCTTTTCATGTGATTCATACTGATGTGTGGGGTCCTTCCCAACGTACTTCTATTTCTGGTCATCGATGGTTTGTTACTTTTATCGATTGTCATTCTCGTGCAACTTGGATTTTTTTGTTGAAGCATAAGAGTGACGTTTTTCGTTATTTTCAAATTTTTCATAAAATGATTCAAACTCAATTCAACGCCACTGTGAAAATTCTTTGCAGTGACAATGGCACTGAGTACACTGAAGGTCAGTTTCAACGGTATCTCTTTGATCATGGCATTATTCATCAGACCAGTTGTGTTGATACCCCAGCACAGAATGGTGTTGCCGAAAGAAAGAACCGACATTTGTTAGAGGTCGCCAGGTCTCTTATGTTTGCACGTCATGTCCCCTCTCAGTATTGGAGTGATGCTATTTTAACCGCTGCCTATTTAATCAATCGGATGCCGACTAGAATTCTTGATTTTCGCACACCTATTGATGTTTTACAGGGATCATCAACTTTTATTCTTCCTCCAAAAATTTTTGGTTGTGTTTGTTATGCTCGTAACACTACCTCTAAGAGTAAGTTGGAACCCCGCGGTCTCCACTGCATATTTCTTGGGTATTCAGCTACTCAAAAGGGTTATAAGTGTTATCATCCTCCTTCTAGGCGCAGTATTATATCTATGGATGTGATTTTTCATGAGTCTACTTCTTATTATTCCGCTCCACCTCTTCAGGTGGAGTGTCCTAGTGTAGAGGTGTTGCCAATTCTAGATGTTCCTAAGGATATTACTTACTCTTCTCCTCCTCCTCCTCCAATAGTCTCTGATCGTCCTTCTCAAGAGGAGAACGATGCAACGCAAGTAGAGAATAATGCAATACCTCAGGGGGAGATATCAGAGGTTCAGGGGGAGACCACAACTGTTAAGCAAAGTATTGATATCTTTCAAAGGCGGATTGATAATGGGGAAACATTGAAGACATATTGTCGTAGGAATTCCACTACCAACACGCAGGTTAAGACCGCTGATACATTGCCTATTCAGTCATCATCTCCGGATCCGGATTCTACTAACCCTTCTGATGAGGTTTCTCCTTCTAATCTTCCTATCGCACTCCGAAAGGGTATTAGAACTTGTACTCAACACCCTATATCCAATGTTGTTTCATATGACTCTTTGTCCAGCTCTTATCATACTTTTGTATCTTCTCTATCTTCTGTTTCTATTCCACGGAATTGGAAAGAAGCTTTTGCAGATGAGAAGTGGAAGACAGCAATGGTGGAGGAAATGCATGCTTTGAAGAAAAATGACACGTGGGATCTTGTTGTTCTTCCTCCTGGGAAACAACCAATAGGATGTAAGTGGGTGTTTGTAGTCAAACAGAAGATGGATGGTACTGTGGACAGATATAAAGCACGGTTGGTGGCGAAGGGATTTACTCAGACTTATGGGATTGACTATCAAGAAACCTTTGCTCCTGTTGCCAAGTTGAATATTGTTCGAGTGTTACTTTCGTGTGCTGTAAACCAGGGATGGGATCTTCAGCAGTTAGATGTGAAGAATGCCTTTCTTCATGGAGAGTTGAAAGAGGAGGTATATATGGAGATTCCTTCAGGTTTTTCTTGTGACAAAACTCAAGGTAAAGTATGTAAGCTGAAACGTGCACTTTATGGTTTAAAGCAATCACCTCGAGCTTGGTTTGGTAGATTTCAGAAAGCTATGATCTTTGTTGGGTATAAACAAAGTAATGCTGATCATACTTTGTTTGTGAAGAGATCAGGTGCTAAAGTCACTATTCTTATTGTCTATGTAGACGACATTATTGTCACAGGGAATGATATTGATGAGATAAGCCGGTTGAAGAATTTTCTTGGACAATAATTCGAAATAAAGGATCTTGGAAAGCTTCGATACTTTCTTGGGATTGAAGTTGCCAGATCTTCAAAAGGTATCTTTCTATCCCAAAGGAAGTATGTCCTTGATCTTTTAACAGAAGTTGGGTTATTAGGATGTCGTCCCTCTGATACACCTATTGAGGTCAATACTCGTCTTCGAGAAAAGGATGGTGATCCCGTAGATAAAGGTCGTTATCAACGGTTAGTGGGCAAGTTGATTTATTTATCACACACCAGACCCGATATTGCTTTTGCCGTGAGCCTAGTGAGTCAGTTTAGGCATGATCCATACTCTACTCATATGGATGATGTTCTTCGAATCCTTCGATATTTGAAGTCTGCTCTCGGAAAAGGGATTCTTTTATCTCCTTGTGATGGCTTGAAAGTTGAAGCCTATACAGATGCTGATTGGGCTGGATCTCCTTACCGAAAGTCTATTTCTAGGTATTGTACTTTCTTAGGAGGGAATCTTGTGACTTGGCGCAGCAAAAAGCAGAATGTGACTGCTCGATCTAGTGCTGAAGCAGAATTTCGTGCAATGGCACATGGAGTTTGTGAACTGTTATGGCTTAAGGGATTACTTGAAGATCTTGGTGTATCTGTTCCTATTCTTATGATGCTATATTGTGATAATAAAGCCGCCATTAGTATTGCTCACAATCCTGTACAGCATGACCGTACAAAACATGTGGAGATTGACAGGCACTTTATCAAAGAGAAGTTGGAGAGCGGTTTAATTTGTATGCCCTTTGTTCAGTCCGGTGATCAACTTGCTGATGTGTTGACTAAAGGATTGGGGAGTAAATCGTTTCATCTTGTTTTAGTCAAGTTGGGCATGTGTGATATCTATGCTCCAACTTGAGGGGAAGTGTTGAAAGTACTTGGCTAATAGGGGCATATTTGTTTATTTCCATTATTATTTTATATATTGCAACAATAAGGGTAATATTGTAATTTTGGCCTTTTTGGCTTTATTATAAATAGATAGCTTGGGGTCACATAGACCTAACCAAGCATTCAGTTCAGTTTTTTCTCTCAACAGTTCCAGACAAAGCACAATGGAAAACGAAAACGTAAAACATTGTGCATAATAACGCGAGATTATTGTTATTGTTAGCCGTAGCCATATTTTATTAAGAGCAATGGGAATAAAGCCCCTTACAGCCTACTAATGCATGGAAAATTCCACTTTTAAACAGATTTGATCAGATATATTATTTTATTATCTAATAAATACATATTAACAGAGAAACACGAAATGATCAACAATAAACTATGAGTGGATGATTCGAGGGTATTAATTCGGAACAATAACAAAGTGCAGTTGGCCAAAATTTATAGAAGGGGGTGGAGAAGCAATGATAAACATACATTCCATGTCTTGTTAGTCCGGTTTCTTCCTGCCGCAATACCGTTCCCATCCTCAATAATCACACAGCTGTTCAATCAAAGAGTCCAATCTGAAATCATTCACTACTAAGACTGAAACACTAATCATATTAATTAGAAAATGAAGTAACATATATGAAATGCACCTAGTTACAGATAATCAGTATCTTACCCAACTGGAACTTCAAAGCTGTCCAATGCAAGCTTTGCCTTATATAAGAAAAGCAAATAGGTCTTGTTACTTGTTAGGAGAAAAATTATAAGAATAAGAGTCAGAAATTCTTTCATGCATGCATGCATGCATAAAGCCAAATTCAAGAGGAAATCAGCATAACGTTGCCAGCAGTAGTAATATTTCCGTAACAATATACAGTTACTAATGGAACAAATGCATGTCCCATACTTATATGATCAAGATCTTGCAGGTCCTGTATAATATACTGGTCACTAACTTCTAAGCAATGATTATCACCCCATACTCATCCAGTAGTACAGATGCAAATCCCACCTAACGGTTAAACTGATATGGCTCTAACAACAGTACAGCTAAAATAAGAACAAATTTGAGAAACTACATGTTGTTGATTCTAGTGTGTCCTATCATGGGTACCTCAGAAGCTTTTCTTTCCATTAATGAGGTTTCACTCAAACAGTCAAGAAGCTTCCTTGAGTTTTAGCTTCTGGGTCATTTTCCTTTACGAATATTATGGCACATGACGAGAAAGAGAGATCCATAAAACCGTTGTGAAGCCCTCAGAAATCATAATTGGCAATCAGCTTTTGTGATTTTGTCTCTGTTCTACTGAATAACTTATGTAAACTCTGTTTTTCTCTTTTTCTTTTACATATCCACAGGCCACAAGGCCAAAGAAAAAACCTAACCAGTTATCCATGGGCACAATCGATGTTCATATTATGCTCACACTCCAAGTAAATTTTGTTTTCAATTCTCCCTAGGTGCCAAAGTCTACAAGTGGCAAAAGGACTCGACTGTCAAGCAACCTCTCCCTGTGGCTTGCCATCTCATTGCACCTTCTTCATTCCTCTATGGTTTTGCCTCTTCAAGCGCCTCATGAAACTTGGCGACAGAGTCCTATCCTAGTGGTCAAAGTTTCTCATAATTCAATTGTCCTGGCAAACCTATCACCCACGGTACATCTTAATGATAGGGACATACTACACATCCACATTTCCTAGACACCTCAAAAGCACCTTGTGGCTTGCCGAATTGCACCTTCTTCATTCCTCGATGGTTTTGCCTCTTCAAGCGCCTAATGAAACTCGGCGACAGAGTCCTATCCCAGCGGTCAAAGTTTCTCATAATTCAATTGTCCTGGCAAACCTATCACCCACTACACATCTTTCTGATAGGCACATACTACACATCCACATTTCCTAGACACCTCAAAAGCACCCTCCCTCTCTCTCTCTCTCTCTCTCTCTCTCTCTCTCTCTCTCTCTCTCTCTCTCTCTCTCTCTCTCTCTCTCTCTCTCTCTCCCAACCTACAGCACCCGGATTGGCTCAGTTTTTCACCTGAGAAAGAGGCTGAACCAACCCATGTACACCCTACTTCCCTTTGTTTCACTCTCCCTCATTTGGTTTTCCTTTGAACCTAGACTTCACCTACTTCTTTCAATAAATCGCCACCTACAGAAACAAAGAAATAAAACCTATACCTTCTAGAAATTGTTGCTGATTTTGCAGCGTGTAGTGTCGATTACCAATGGATTCACTATGAAGCATCCACAGACAACACTTATGAAGAAACACTTATTCAATGTCTCTCATACAAAAGTCAATTATGCATTCTTCAAATTCCCGCGCAATTATAGCACCAAACGTATCGTTGACATTTCAGCCCAAGTATTACATCTACTTAATACAATTCGGCTGTGCCAGGCATTACCTGATCTATAGCAAGCTGCATAAAACCCAGAACCTCAGGAGAGAATCGTTCCACCGAAACTACGTTATCAATTTCCATGGCTTTGGTTGGTGGTGGTAGTCCGTCGCCTCCACTTGCCAGTCTCCATCACCTTCAGTCGCTAGGCTGTTTTAGGAAGAAGAATTTCTTCTGTTCGTCACCTCCATTGGCAGGTAGCAATCTTCCACTCATCAAAGCTCGCTGGTGTCGGATGAAAGATGAGCGGTCATGATATTGTAGGTGGTGTCGATGGTGAAGTTGGCCTATGGTGAAGGAAAGGAAGGAGCTTATAACAGGAAATCAAAGAAAGAAGGTGGAGAGAAAGAATTAAAAACAAAGAAAAAGAATAAATAGAAGAAAAAATTACAGAAATTTATTTTAGGATGTATAGTTAACCAGGGTTAACGGGGATTTGGTGAAAAGAAAAAAAAGGTTAAAGGGGATGCACGCGTGCATAATTAGGTAGTCATGCATAGATGAAAATTGGTAATTATTTATGAAGTATGTGGTCCTGAAAGACCAATTATATTCTGCTATGATCAAAGGGTAGTTTGGAAAGACGAAACTTGGTTTTGACTTAGGCTCTGTTTGTTTGAAGGAAAATAGTTTACTAGAAAACTTCTTTTTCCATTTTTCAAAGTGTTTGGTATGGGAAAATAAGCAGGTCAAAGAAAAATGACTTCAGTTGACCAGAAAATACCAAGCTTAAAAATAAGGAAAATGACTTCCTAATTTTATAGGTGGAAGTCATTTTCCAAAAAAGTATGGAGGACTATCCTTACCAAAGTGTTTTGATAGATGACCAAGTAAAAAAAGGATTCTTTTGAGCATATGCCCTCGAGGGAGCACGCATGTTCACTAGGAGACCACAGAATTCTCTGGACAACACTAGCATAAACTGCTCAAATGGGAAAATTGTGGTTCAATGTGATTCACAGCTTGATATAGAGTACAGTTGATGCACCCACCTAGCAGTTGGTCATCACACACCAATACAAAAATTGATCATGGACTCAGAGGTCCACAGCTTGACAAGCCCTCCCACAAATTGAGTTCAGACCAGGGATAAAGCAGGACACTGTGCAACACCAGTGCAGGTACATAATCTGTAATTCTCCGCTCGTTCAAGTTCCTCTCTACTTTCATCTCTAATACACTGTCGTCATCTCTAGTACACATTCACAAAAGATGATTATCCGTTGAGATATTCAACTCAATTTTCTCTCGGGAATTTTAACGAACACCCGGTGGGCCAATCATAGCAGCCACTACAATTACAAATACCTCCAAATTCTAGCCATCTCCATAGAATCAATCCCATTACACAAATCTAAACACCCTCCAAACATCATAAACTCAAAATCATCGTATAAAAAGGGCCTAGGAAACTCAGACACGTGGTGGGTCACCGAGATCAAAACAACAAAGAAGAAGAAGAAGAAGAAAAACCACGAAGGGATTCGAGTCAAGGACGCACACCGCAGAGAGAGTCGCACTAAGAAAGGGAGACGGAAGAGGAGGACACACATCTTCAACAATTTTTGAGGTAAACACACTCTACAATTTCTTTTTTCTTGGATTAATATACCAGCAAAAATTTTAAACTATGCCTACCATAATACCGACTTTTTCCCGCGTTACTAATAATCCTTAAATTATAAACTGTGGCTAGCTGAGGTTGCGACCTCAGATTCGAGGTTGGGAGACCTCGGGCTCGAGGCGGCAACCTCAAGCGGAGGTCGCGCAGGTTGGGGATAGGGAGAGAGATGGTCGCAAGCCCCCTGTGCGGTGGACGGCAACACCGGCACAGTGATGGCCTCATAGCATTAACAGGCGGGAGCAATGGGGCATTGTACAGTGTGGACGACGGCTGAGCATGGAAGAGGATGGAAGGGAAAAAATAAATAATAAGAACCATTTTAAGATAAAAAAAATTAATCCATTTTAAATTGAGTTGGCATTCCGGTATAGCAATGTGCCTCGTTCTTTGCTGAGTGAGCAAGTCACCATATGGAGCTATATTTTGAAAGTTCAGATACTTAATTGAAATAGAAAAAGTAGCAGTACTTGTACATAATAAAGCGGACGAAAATTTATCGTAGTGTGATTACCTTTAAAAAAAAATCTGATAATAATGAATATTTTTATTCTCTTCAAAATTGTTTTTATATTTACTTCCCAATTTCAACTAGATCCTATTAATTTGTCAATGATTGTAATACATATTCCATATTCCACGAAATGAACGGCAAGTTGAAAACAATAAAGAGTAGAAAACGACTGTTCTTATGCTCCCTGTATAACAAAGATCTCGTGCTCTCTCTGCTAAGCCAATTCCTACCAGTGCTGCAAGCAATTACAAAAACATGAACCTCTCACACCCATAATGAGTCATTCTTTCACCGGCAGCTTTCCCAACTGGAAGTGGTTGTTCACACCCGCTAAGAGAACTCTCATGGGAGATAATCGGCGAAACTCTCAAACAGCACTTGCCCATGCCTCCATTGCTAACTGCCACTGCGATTTGGGCCTATAGGTGATTACATGAAGTATATACGCAAAAGTGAAGTCAAGGGAGATATACCTTCATGAACTAGTGGAACAATAATAAAAGAAGAAGTAACAGTATATGTGACATCCTGAAAATTTGTCCATTTAGGATTTGTGAAATATTTGGTTTTATAAATGTACTTGTAGTTAGTTCTCGCCCGGAACTGATGATTCCTGAGATACTAACCATTAGGGAAAGGCTGACTGAATATTTAAATTCGTACGACTAAGAGAAAATTCGATCGTGAATTGATTTTCGACCATGAAATCGTCGAGGTGATATTTTGAGCCACTGCTGGCCGATCCAAGGATAGCTAGGGGTCAGTCCGCCACTGTCAGAGTAGTGGATCGCGGGTGATACCGCCAGACCACGAAATGAATTGATGAATGATCCTGAACCTATACCGAACGATCATACCCCTCGGATCTAGTGATTGATCCTCGCGATTTAAATGACAACCGAAGTCGTCACGAACCGAATGAACTTGCACGTGACTCGATTTATTATCAGTCACAGGTCGAATATGCGAATTTCCCCAACAAGCCACCCTTTAGTTCGAGAAACGCTCAAGTTGCGTTTGATAAAATTTAATTATTTAATTGAGCCCAAATCGGACACCGGAAAATTAGGAAGTCACAATTGGACGTTAGGATGACATTGTGAATGGATCATGCAATTTTGAATTGTCCCGATTCTTTCGGAAAAATTCGATTTCGATGAGAAATGAAGAAAGTGACCATTTTACCTCTAAAGATTTATAAAGGGTTAGTTATAATGGGCAAGGGCATTTTGGTCATTTTGCCCTAAATATTTGGTTGGACATTCTTGCCCTTGGATTTTTATGAAATTCCCAAATTGCCCTTGGATATTTTGGGTAAGATGCGATCTCGGCCGTTGGTTTCAAGATAAGATCGAATCTGGGCCGTTGATTGAAAAGATTAGATGAGGGCAAGATCGTAATTTGCCGTTTTGGTCAAATTGGACTATTTAGTCAAGGCCATTCTCTCTCTCTCCTCATTCCCCCTCTCTCTCCCTCACGGCAACACCACCCCCCACCGTGGACTCTCTCTCTCTCTCCCCTCTCCCTTGGTCGTGACCCACGGCAAGGAAGCCGTGCCGCTGCCGTGCGCCGATCGCCGTCCACCGAGCCAAGTCGCACCGTTCGCCGCCGTCCCCGCCAATCGCCGCCACTTGTCGCTCTAGCCGAGATAGTCTAGGGCTCGGTAATTCGCCCCCTAAACCCTATTTAGGATATCGGGTATTAACGGACTCGTTTAGGCGCGGTTTAGGGTAGTTTAGGGGTTGATGGAAGTGATTGTAAATGGATTAGAGGAGAGCTTGATCCTTTATTGTGTTTTTGGACATTCTTGTGGCTGTTGGATGGTCATTTGAGCTTAGGGGAATGAGTTTTGTGGGTTGAATTTCGGTGGATACTAACAAAGGCTCAGATCTTTAAAATTTGAGGTGAATCTCTGATTCGCGGTTACTGTAACCGTCCGGTTTGTTATTTTTGTGGAGAATTTTTTGGGCCGAATTTGAGAAAGTTTTCTTCATAAAAGTTTCTTCCAACATCTTGAAGTATAACATACTTTAAATTTGGAATTTTTGGAGGCCATTTGGGTCGCACGAAAACCCATTTTCGGACCGTATTAAAACTGCCCGGAACACTGTTCATCCCGACCTTCTTGTCTTGCCGAATTTTTATAAAATTTTCAAAATCTATTTTCAATAAACTTTCTTCACAAAATTTGTTGGAGACTTGTATTTCTATGACATATAAAAATTTCAAGGCTTTTCAAGGTGATTTGGGTGTTGAAAGAAATGTATTTTGAGGACAAAACGGTCTGTTAGAGCGAACTGATTTTGGTCTGATTTCAAGGGACAAAAAGGCATGGTTTCAGATTGAACCGGATTTCGTGTTCTTCATAAGAAATGTTTATCAAGATGTTTTTTTATGATATATCCAAAATCTAGAATTTTTGGAGTTTGTTTACTATTTATTTTGATGGAATTTCGGTCACTGTGTAAGCTGCCCAATTTTACCCCGATTCTTTGGATATTCATTTTTATGAGCGGAATGGTGGGGGTGTCGAGGTTGAATAGTTGCTGCCAAGAGGATTGGAATTTGATGCTTGAATTTATGTTGTATGAATTAATTTGAGGATGAAATGAGGATGTTTCGGGGCTGGAGTGAGACTGATTAGAGTGCCGGACGTTGTGGATTGAAATGACGGACATATAGTCCGATTTGGAGACAATTTGTGTTGGTTCGAATGGGCCGTGATGTGGCTGTGTTTGTGGGCCCGTGAGTGGCCTTGTGTGTTTATTGTACCGAGATTTGATGGATTGAAATATGCTTGATTGTGTGCACGCTTGGGCCGGACTGAATGAATTGTCAAATAGGCCATATCGAATGCTTGGTGAGCATGAAAAATGTATATGAATTGTTGCGTGCACGGGCCGCGTGTGATTGACCAACTGAGTGGCAAGTTGTTGTTGAGCATGTGCATGAGCAAGAAAGTGAATGTAGTGTGGCATGTGCGATCATGGGAATTGTGCCGTCCTGAGGCGTGTACTTCAACGCGGGACGATGCCCGGTATTACCGGAAAACTGCCAGCCTGAGGCGTGTACTTCAATGCGGGTTGTGCAGTAGGTGGTAGATGTTGAGCCTGAGGCGTGTACTGCAACGCGGGCAAGAAACATGGCCTGAGGCGTGTACTATAACGCGGGCCCTGAAGTGTTGTGAAAATTGGTCGCAATGAACCTGAGGCGTGTACTGTAACGCGGGTCACTGGCGAGTGGTATGGAAAGGAATGTGATGAGGCAAGCGGGAATGCGTGAAACATGAATTAAGCATGCATGTGTTTGCATATGATGTGGGTGTGACTAACGTGCAGGTAGCACGCGTGATAGGCCCAGGTAAGATCAATTGATGTGCCTGCTATGTGATGATAGTATGTGTGTGATTGTGTTTTGTGTGATTGTTTGGAGGTACGTGAAAGCCTAGGTGGGGTTTAGGGTATGTACTTATTGAGATGTGATCTCATGGTTGTTTTAACCAACAATTTCAGAACCCCGGCCTGAGCGATGAACCTTCCGCCGCCGCCTCAGCGTTTTGCACTACCGTTGCACACCGACAATAACGTGGTAGGGTACCCGACAGACGAGCAGGAGGCTCAGGAGGATTCAGACTCGAGTTCTGAGAAGTCGGATTCGGAGTGGACGCCATCTCGAGGGCGTAAGGGCTAGAGTAGGGGTTGGGAGTAGGTCTTTTGAGGTGTACCATTTTTGGAAGTTGGGATATCTAGGCTACCGATCCTTTTGATGTCGATGGTTAATAGTTATAAGTTCGGTGTGCTGGTGCATATGTATGGTGGTTTTGTAATTTGTGAATATTGTATAAGTTTGGAAGAAAAATGAATATGTATCTTCTCCTTTGTTTACCCCAGTTTTTTTATTTGTCCGGGTATTAGTGGCTTTCGCTGATCGTTTTTAAATCTCTTATAAGTTTAATTGGGTCGGCGATACCCTGGGACTCGCATTAATCGACCAGAGAAGTGTGTCGCGTGCTCGATGGGGTTCGGGGCGTGACAGTGTAAAACATATATCAGAGAACATCAACCACGGACACAGCCAAGCTTGTTGCATCTCCTAATGAAAATCTTCTACATGTACTTCAAAAAGCTGCAAACTAACATGCTTCTCTTCCTATTTCTTGAGGAGTAAAGTCCACGAGTGAAAATAGCCAAATTACTCTCCAATGAAATCTTTTTTATCATTTCCACACTGCAAAAGACCCAAAATAAATCTATATGACTATTTTGTCAATACTTCATTGAAAGAGTAACCATTGTAATTTATGGGTCATGTGGGAGTGAAGAAAGACATCACACAACCATACCTGTATGCTATGTTATAAACATGTAATACAAGTTAGCAAGTAATAAATATTCAGAAAGCTTTATTGTGAATCAAATCACAACGTGACACGACTCTAAAGAATGACGAGTCTAGCCCTCTTGGATATCAATCATATTCACATGTAAACAAATGACAAAGCTCTGTTTTACCCTACATGTGACAACAGTACTATCTAATAATAAAAAAATCACAATATTGATAACCATATGTCAAAAGAGTAAGTTCTTCAAAGTTTATACCTCTTAACCTTGAAACAAAACTAGTTCTTCAAATAAGACCAGAATGAAGTCACGCTTTCTAAACATAACGGCAAGATGAAAAGTAACTCAAGGGTGAGGGTTGGCCCATTATACACCCAATTTTAATAAAACTGAGTGGAAAAATGGGTCCATTAATTCATTTTGCCACCTCTACTTGTGCACAACACTCATCCTCTTTTGCTAAAAAAAAATTAAAAATCTCATATGAGCCCATGACAAGTCCTCTACAATCACCGGTCTC